CCGTCGAGTCGGTTCTGGCCCATAGCGACCCTGTACAGGGTTTCCAAGGGTGTAAATCTTTACGGGAGTAGAAAGCCTCATCTTTCTCCCGCGGAACGGCTGGTAGTTTCGAACCTCTGACCTTAAGGTTCGCAGCCCAATTCGTAACCACTATGGTACCAGAGTAACTGAAATTGAAGACCAAATTGATTGGACAAGGGAGGCCACTATGATGAGCTGAAAATTGGGCTGAGTCTTGAAGGAAAAGAAGCAGCCAGCAAATCAAAGATCAGGAAGCAAAGCATGCCAGTCAGAAGAAATGACAGGAACAAAGGCTTAGAGATGGGTACAGATTTAGTGTGTTCAGAAAAACAGAAAAAAGGCCAGTGTGCCTGGAACATAAGGAATGAAGGGAAAGGAGTGATACGAGATGAAGTTGGAAAAATAGGCAATTTATGCTGAGCCTTATGAGCCATGCAAAGCATATGTCACGCTGATGGTGCACAAACACCATCTGGTCATTGTACAGGCGCCACACTCATTCCTGAGATTGTAAGTTTCACTTTTTCCACCCCATTATAGGACTTCTGTTTAATTACATAAACATTGACATTGTGCTATGAGAGAAGATGCCGGAGACATTAGACACCATCTATTCACATCAGGAAAAAGAAAGTCCATTAAAGAATGTATTTATGGTACAAAGTAGCTAACCAAAAAGTTGGCAGTTTGAACTCACCCAGTATTTCCTCAGGAGAAAGACTTGGCAATCTGTTTCAGTAAAGAATACAAAGCAAGAAAATCCTATGGGACTCTCTGCACACATGGGATCGCTACGAGTTGAATTCTACTGAAAAGCACCTAACAACATTATGTAATAAGTACCATACCCGAGGTAAAGACATAGGAGACATCATATCCAACTGGGAGCTCTGGAAGGCTTACTGTAGAAGGGAGTGCTTGAGTGGACCTTGAGGAAGGAAGAGAATTTGGACACAACTACGTTCACATGTTAAGTTGTTGTTAAGTGCCCTAGCATCGGTTCCAACTCATAGCAACCCTTTATCGGGTTTCCAAGAAGTGGCTGGTGGATTTGAACCACCAACCCTGCGGTTAGCAGTCCAGTGTTGATCCTACAACACCACATCAGAGTTGTAGGGGCCCTCCCACAGCTTCCAATGGGGCATTTTCTCGAGTGATTTTATTCTTCACACTTGTTTTTTGTGAGACAAAAGTAAGAAATAATTGAACCTGAGATACAAATAATGTAAGAACTACCACGGAATCTTTGTCCTAGAAATCTCACTTTTATGATTCAATGACATATAACAACTCCCACATGTGCATGGATAAGGATGATCATTCTATGAATGTTTGTAATGCAAATAATAAGTAACAACTAAAATGTTCAGTAATAGAAAACTGCTTTATCCTCAATCCTTAGACCAGTGCCTGGCACGTAGTAAGCGCTCAAAACTTTTCGCTGAATCAATAAATGAATATACATGCTTAATCAATCCTAAAGAATTCTGTACAGCTAAAAAAGAATGATATATATATATATGTATGTACTTTAGATGAAAAAGTGCCAAACAATATTGCTAATTGATAAAAAGCAAGCTGCAGAATAATTATATATATGAGTATGTGCATTTGAGTTATGATGTTGGCAAAGAATATTGAAAGTACCATGGACTGCCAGAAGAACAAACAAATCTGTGTTGGAAAAAATACAACCAGAATGCCCCTTAGAAGCCAGGATGCCGAGACTTCATCTCTCATACTTCAGGCATACTATCAAGAGGGACCAGTCCCTGGAGACGGGTATCATGTTTAGTGAAGTGGAGGGTCAGCGAAAAAGAGGAAGATTCCCAAGGAGATAGATTGGAACAGTGACAGCAGCAATGGGCTCTTGTGTAGCAACTATTGTAAGGAAAGCACAGAGCAGGCAGTGTTTTGTTCTATTGATCATACGGTCGCTATGAATTAGAACAGCACCTAACAACAATAACAACAACAACAACATGTGCGTGTATGGAGTCCTGGTACGGTGCTGTAAGATAAGCGCTGAACTTCTGGGTC